CAACGATCCAAGTTCAAATTCCTGTGGAGACAGGATAAACTTAATGCTAATTCCTTTGGGAAAGGCTGGAATCCAACTTTTATCCACCGTTCCTTCATGTTCCTCTTGACTTGAATTCATGAATGAAGATCTATGAATGGTAATGGTAATATTAACTGTTTCTTTATAAGGAAACATTCAGCATTCATTGACAAAGCAGCCAGTGCTACTCAAGTTACACTTTTCTTTATTCTCTGGCTATCAGGCTGAGATCAAAGTGTAGTATCTGTTCTCCTCCTCTCTAATGATAATGGTAATATTACCTATTTCTTTATAAGGAAACATTTGGCATTCATTAGCTAAGCAGCCAGTGCTACTCAAGTTATACTTTTCTTTATTCTCTGGCTATCAGGCTGAGATCAAAGTGTAGTATCTGTTCTCCTCCTCTCTAATGATAATGGTAATATTACCTATTTCTTTATAAGGAAACATTCAGCATTTATTAACTAAGCAGCCAGTGCTACTCAAGTTACACTTTTCTTTATTCTCTGGTTATCAGGCTGATATCAAAGTATAGTATCCATTTTCCTTATCTCTAATGGTAATGGTAATATTAGTTGTTTCCTTATAAGGAAACATTTGACATTCATTGGTTAAACGGTCAGTGCCATTGTTGAAAATTTATAAAATCTTTCTATTTGTTATAGTGGAACACACCTACTCTATAGTTAATAGACTCTCCCACCTATAATAAGTAAGAGTAACAAGTCGGCTCAGTAAGACGGGCAGTCAATCAATGTCGGACGACCGTTAGTCAAATACTAAAGTATCAGTGACCACAGCTAGATTACTCTGCATTATACCTATTATATCAAGTTCCTAATATTTTGTACGTCAAACCTATTTTAGGACCGACTTAGTACAAATACAAGCCTCCACTGTGAAACTACTCTACAACACTATTAAAACAGTTTTTCAAGAAAATAAGTTTCTCAAATCCACTATTATCACATTTTTTTAGTATTGATGGGGGTGGGGGGTTCCCTCCTAACATTTTGTTTGAAGTAGTGTAGAATCCCAACATCTTGATTATGTCATTATTTTCTTTTCAAATTAAATGTGTTTTCCATTTAGTGTTGTTATCTGGTACAGTTCTTTGTTTTTGATTCTGTAGACCAGTCCACAAGGACTATCTACCTATCTAAATTTTTATTTCTCTAATCTCCATTAGATTTTACTATACGAGAATTTTTTTGCAACATGCTGATATGTGATGAAATCCTCACAATATTCAGTATTGTTGAAGTTATCACTAACATTTTTTATCGACATTTACAAACACTACATTTCATTCAATTTCACAAACAAATCAATGAAATTTGAATATACTAATTTGTTTAAAAAATACTTTGACAAAAATCTTACTTCATGATTTAATAATTTCCTTAATCTAATAGGACTATATGATAAACAATATTTTTTAAGTTTTAAGAAAATTTATTTTTTTCCTTTTTAACAGCAAAAAATAAATTCTTAGGATTTCTTACTCTAGAGCATGCAACATACAACTGGCCATGCATAAATATTTCTTTCTGTAGCCAAATGGGAATATTTGGCCTTGTGATTTGTTTATAGTTCTCACAGACTCAGGGCGAACTAGAAACTGGCTTCTTGTATACAAAAACTTAAAGAAAAAATATGCAAAAAACAGTAGCCTAAAGCCTGTGATAACAACAACAACAAAGACAACAGTCCATGTGTAAATAGTGTAAATACATTGATCCCTCATTTATCGCAGTCAATTGGTTCCAAGACCGGACACGATAACTGAATTTCCACAAAGTAGTATTTATTTAACGTATATTTGTACTTTTAAAACCCTCCCTGTACTGTTAACAACCCACCCATTACAGTAATCTATTAATAACAAGGACAACTATTAAACAATAACACTTTAGATTAAAAAAAAACAAAGATTGTTATTGTATTCAACACTAAAGAAGTTGAAGTAGAATTTGAATGAGTATGGTGATGAATTTGCACAGTAGAAATGATGATGATGATGAAGTTGATGACTTCTACTGTGCAGTCGATAATTGTATTTCACGTCTCTTCGGACGGTGGTGCCCTTTCTATTGCTATTTTACGCTTGTTTTGTTGTTCCTAGACCAGGAAATAATATTTATTATTAATATTTTAATGGGTTTAATGAAAAATTTTAGGTGTTCATATATCATGATTTTTCTAGAATTTTCCAGAAACTCCGCAATATATTTTCCATATATATATTTTAAAAATCTGTAAAGTTGTGAATCTGCAATAGTAGAACCGCAAATTAGTGAGGGAACACTGTAATGATAATTCTTCATCCCAAAAATTCAGACAGAATACTTATTTATTTACCAATATATGTCTCTCTGAATTTCTGGTATGGGGTGTTATCATTATTTAAAATATGAACATATGGACTATTGTCCCCATCTTTCATTTCAGCCAGTGTGTTCCTCGACCTTTCATCAACAGAAATACTAGATGGTGTTGAAAAAAATCCTTCAGCAAGTAAATTACCAAGATCAAAAAAATTGAAGGAATATCAGAATTGTCTTTTGAATAGGTTCTTGGTTGCACTGAAAATTTCTCGGCAGCAAAACTATTATCTATGTTAAAATAAAAATCAGTATGGATCACAGTATTGGAATCAGTGAACCAGGTTTAAATATTTGTTCCAGTATATGCATGTTATTTTTTTTCATGTCCCAAAGTCTACTGCATCTTATACTTTAGTTTAGAACTCAAACCCATTTTTTTCAGGAAACATAACAGACAAAATTGGGTCAAGTTTGATTTACTTGTTTACTGGAGAGATAATATCTATCTAATGACATATTGCAACAAAGGGAAATAAATCTTTCATAATGTTTCTCTAAGTCTCATATGGTCTTGTATGCTTTCTGGATTTCATTGAATTCTAGACACCTTCTGATGGTAGATGCCCATGAGCACAGAAAAATTAACTGGGTTCCACAGAAACAGTTTTTCAGGACTACACAAATAATTTTGCAAGAAATATCACATGTTGTCATAAAAAGAATTAAAACCAAACAAACAAGTTAGTATTTATTCCATTTTATTTTGATTTTTTTTTTCAACGCGTATTGGTTATTTAGTGGTCTTACATGACTAAGAGTTATTATTACATTTTCATAATGCTTATGAATCACAAAGTAAAAATTATGTGCATGATAAATTATATTAAACCAAGAAATCCTAGATTGTCATTCTCTATATCATTTGTAGCATCTGAATTATAACACTGTCTAATGTTTGCAGCCACACGAGCTATAGCATTTTAAGTAGATATTTTAAATAAAGCATATTCTATATTAGATATAATTTCCAATAGTATAAACATATCCACATGCATACAAATAAATCAATCAAGGAATGAAAAGGCATTCAACTTACAAACTACTGTTATGACTATCTCGATTTATAAGTAATCAGGTTTTTTTAATTACCATAATCCTCTGCATAGAAGACAGGTTTTTCATCCCAAATCTTGTCCCAAAAACTTCTGCATCTCATACTTTAGTTTAGAACTCAAAACGGACAAAATCAGGTCAAATTAGATGTATTTGTTTACCAGATAGATAACATCTATAATGGAATATCATAACAAAGAGAAATACATCTATCATAATGTTTCTCTAAGGCCTGTACAGTTCTGTACTTTTTCCAGATTTCATTGGGTGTAGACATAAACAGGAGTTTGTGAAACATTCAAAAGGTAAAAATACTTAATTTATGATAAAAAAAAAAATACAAAATGATGCATAAACAAATTTCTTTCTCCTCCTCCCCTTCCTTTTTTCATAAGTTTTGGTCATTTTCTTTGCTCTAAAGTCCAGTGCATTTTATACATGAAAATAAGCTCCCCCACCCCAGAATTTCTCTGCTTTTTTTTAAAACTATATCTTATACTCACTTGTAATCTATACACAAAGGATTACAGTAAGTATTGTTATCAAACTTTGAGAAGGTCCTTAACATACCAAATACTGTTTTGACAATTAAAACACTTCTTTGTATATTTGATGTTGTTAAGCAGATTGGTCTAGATTGTATATTTGTAATCATATTTTTTCCCCAAACTGCCTTGTTAATTTTTTTTTTTTTTTTTTACCTTACAGAAATTTTTTTTTCCTCATGGAATATTCAGCTGGTAAAGATTGAAGAACTGATAAGCTAAAATGTTGTCTATACAAAGGGGTTCACTTATTCAATTAATATTTGGAAAAGTAATCATATTTTGTGAAAAGGAAGGAGAGGGAAAAAGTTCCATTTTGGAAGGTGAATATCCAGTTTAAGAAGACAAAAAATTCTTGATGAGTTGAGACTAGAATTGGAAGAGAAATTATGTGTAAAACATTCTGCTTTATCAACAATAGATGACAACACATCAGATTGATTAAAGCGAGGAGAGATTTTATGAATTTCATCCTGTTTCTGTACAATTCTGTACTTTTTCTAGGTTTTGTTGAGTTCAGACACCTACATGAGTTTGGAAATCATTCAAAGGTAAAAAATATGACAGGACCCAAAGAGTGTGAGTTCAATACCCGGTTAAGTTAGTGGAGAACTTGGAGAGGGGAATTAACAGGAGATAACTGATAACTGACATCCATTAAACATGGCATGTGGAACTAGAACAGTCTACCCCAGTGAGCAAAAAAAAGGGTTCAGTTCAACATTCCAACCACCTGAAGAAGGCCAGAGCATACAATGGCCAAACATTGTAATAAATATGGCGACAAAGATGAGGACAATAGTCTGAATAATGTAAATAGTGTACATAATACCTCATCTCAGAAATATAGACAGGTAAAAAATATTATTTAATTTATAATATAAAATAATGCACTAATGCATCTTTTTTTCATTTTTTTCTCTTCTTTTTTCACAAGTTTTAGTCATTTTCTTTGCCCTAAAATCAGCTGTGTTTTATACATGAAAATAAGTTTTATTTTCCCTGGAATTTCTCTGCTTTTTTTTAATTGTGTCCTACTTCCTAGGATTACATTAATATTAATTCATATCTCTTCATATTATTATTGAGTAGATTAATTCAATTCAAATTTACTTCCTGTCTGATATTTTTACATACACTGCTTAGACATGTGCAATGTGCATCATTTTGTTAATATTTTATATAATTATGACAATTTGGGCACTTCAATGGTTAACAAGCTAGTCTCAGTAGATCAATTATAACTGAATAGCGAGTTTGATCCTCAGTGAGTGCGCCATACTTTCTGCCTTGTGCCATATCTAAGTTACACTCAGTAAATTACTATAATTATTACAATTACATTTTTCTCGTGCTGTCAAAAAAAATGACAAAAGTATTTAAGTTTTTCATATAAGGTTAAATTGGCAGCTGATCTCAAAACTTTTACTTTTGTTGTTAACTGGGGCAAGGAATGGCTTGTCAATTTTAAGACCTCCAAAATGAAACTGCTCTCTTTTAATCATCTGAGAGAACCCTTTTTACCTTCCATCAGCATGGCTGATGCTAACCTCCAGGATAGTAATTCAGTGGTCTTCTTTGACTGACTTTTCTTGCTGACATGAAATTGAATCGATTCATTATATTGAATCAATTGCTAGGTTTCTTTTTTTTCCTCTTTCTTTTCACAAGTTTTGATAATTTTCTCTGCTCTAAAATCAGGTGCCTTTTATACATGAAAATCAGGTGTGTTTTATACATAAAAGTAAGCTTTATTCTCTATTATTTCTTTGCTTTTTTAACTGCATCTAATAGTGTAAATATCAATTCTCAATATACAACCTGCCATAACCCACCTTATGTATATACTGCCATAATATATGACAGCATCATCACAATTAACAGAGGAAGTCATGCAATCAATGAGACTTTAATGACAGTGCACCTTTGAGAGCAGATATTTACAGGTTGTGCTTGGGCATGTTGAAGTTGGATGCTAAAGGGTTAAATGTTTCTATTTCTGGTAGATTATTAAATGTAGCAGGCTAATCAGTCTTTACTTTCCAACCTTTTCAACCTTCATTTCTCTTTCCCTTCATTTTACTTCATTTCTCTTTTCCCTTGTTTTCCTTCATTTCTCTTTCCCTTTGTTTTCCTTCATTTCTCTTTTCCCTTGTTTTCCTTCATTTCTCTTTCCCTTTGTTTTCCTTCATTTCTCTTTCCCTTTGTTTTCCTTCATTTCTCTTTCCCCTTGTTTTCCTTCATTTCTCTTTCCCCTTGTTTTCTTTCATTCCCCATCCCTTCATTTTCTTTCACTTCTCTATTCCTTCATTTTCCTTCCTTTCTTTTTCCCATCATTCCTCTTTCCCATCATTTTCCTTCAATTCTCTTTCCCTTTGTTTTCCTTCATTTCTTTTTCCCTTTGTTTTCCTTCATTTCCCAATCACTTCATTTTCTTTCATTTCACTTTCCCTTTGTTTTCCTTCATTTCTCTTTCCCTTCGTTTTCCTTCATTTCCTCATCCATTCATTTTCCTTCATTTCGCCATCCATTCATTTTATTTCATTTCTCTATCCTTTCATCTTCCTTCATTTCTCCATACATTCATTTTCTTTCATTTCTCTATCCCTTCATTTTTCTTCCTTTCTTTTTTATCTTCATTTCTCTTTCCCTTTTTCTTTCATTTCTTTTTTCCTTCATTTTCTCTCATTTCCCCTTTCTTTCATTTCTCTATCCCTTCCTTTTCCTTCCTTTCTTTTTCCCTCCATTTCTCTCTCCCTTCATTTTCCTGCATTTCTCTTTACATTTATTTTTCTTCAATTCTCTTTCCCCTTTTCTTTTTCCTTCCTTTCTTTTTCACTTCATTTCTCTTTCCCTTCATTTCTTTTTCCCTTCATTTTCCTTCATTTCCCGATCCCTTCATTTTCTTTCATTTCACTTTCCCTTTGTTTTCCTTCATTTCTCTGTCCCTTCATTTTTTCCTTTCTTTTATCTTCATTCCTATTTCCCTCCATTTCCCTTCAATTTCCTTTCCTTTTGTTTTCCTTCATTTCTCTTTCTCCTTCATTTCCTTTCATTTACTCATTCTTCAATGTCCTTCATTTCTTTATCCCTTCATTTTCTATCCTTTCTTTTTCTTTTAATTTCTCTTTGCCTTCATTTTCTTTCATTTCTCTTTCCCTTCATTTCCCTTCATTTCTCTAACCCTTCATTTTCCTTCCTTTCTTTTTCTCTTCATTTCTCTTTCCTTTCGTTTTCCTTCATTTTTCTTTCCCTTCATTTTCCTTCCTTTCTTTTTCCTTTCATTTCTCTTTCCCTTCATTTTCCTTCATTTCTTTTTCCCTTTGTTTTTCTTTCATTTCTCTTTCCTTTCGTTTTCCTTCATTTCCCTTCTATTTTTACCTCCTTTCTTTTTTTCTCCTTCATTCCTATTACCTTTACTAAATATTACAAAGATTATTATTACTGTTACTACTACTATGTTGTAGACCTTTTATTTTGTCGCTTTCTTTTGATAGGTAAATCAGGTAACCTCCCACATGCAATATATTACTGTTATCCTCTTTCTTATTGTTATTATTTCAATGTTTCAGCCGTAGTGCCCTCCAGTCTTCATCATGTGCTTCTGACAATTTCAAAGTAAACAATTTATTTAATCTATAAGGGCAGATTGTTTTCATGCCGTTGATTATGTCTCAGGATATCTCATCTTGTACTGCTCAGTTTGAGAGAATTCAGGGCAAGCAATACTAAGAACTAAACAAATTATCCAAAAACATGGACAGTGGAATGAGAAAGATCTACCATTGTATATTAAATAAATAGTTCTGTTTCAAATACGCTAGAGTTTACTCAAATCAACAAATATCCAAATCAGCAAATACCCAGATCAACAGAATCTGATGAAGGCCAAAGAACACACTGGCTAAAACTTGATAACAGCAACAAAGATGAGGATAAAAATCTTAATGTAAATAATGTAAACTCCTCATCCCAGAAATTCAGGGAGGAGGCAATCAGTTTATAATAACAACAAAGATGAGGATATTAGGCTGCATCTAAATAATGATAAATCCTCATCCTAGAAAATTGGACTAAAATTATCTTAAAATTCTGTCAAAAATTGTACCTGTCAACTATGCTCACCTATGTTTCCTGGGACTATAATGGAGATTATTAATGCTAGTCCTCCCAAGGATTGAACTCTTCATCCTTTGTTAACAAATATTGTTGAATTCGCCTATCCGATTTGCTAATTAAAAATTATCCCACCCTTTTGATCTGCTGGACTTAAAAATGGAGGATCTCAAGCAGGCTACATTATCTCTCTTGTGGGTGACAATGATAATCATTGTATAATTATTCCATGACACTTTTGATTCTGTAAGACCATCAAGAAATCAATTGTCACAGAATCAAAAGTGGCATGGAATGTCCACAGGCAGTAGAGACACATTCTATAGTTTATACTATGGAAGCGTTCACTTTTTACAGAAAATGCTTCTTGAACTTCTATGTATTGAAGACAAGCTGGAAAATCTTCCAGTAATATGTAAAATGAATAATGTAGGCCTATATGATTCTGAACACTCATTTACTCAAATACTGAATAAGAGGCTCAGAATCAAAACTGCAATTATTTGCAAAATGTTGGAACAAAGAGTAATATATAAAGTTGAATAGATTTCTAGCCCAAGCCGAGTTTCAGATGGTCTAAGAGAAGAGTTCCCCCTAAAAAGATTCTAGATTATGTATGTGAATTAGAATCTCTCTTCCATAATATATATATATATATATATATATATATATATATATATATATTATATTTTGATAAAGAAGCTGCCACTATTATCTACATGAGAAGAGAAAAGCTGTGAACTGTACTTTTCTACCTTTCAGATAATGATAATAGAGATTGATAATGCTAATCCCTCCTAAGAATGAAACTCTTCATTCTTGGCTAACAAATATTGTTTAATTACTCTGTCTCACCTGTTAATTAAAAATGAGCCCACTGTTTATCCATAAGTGCTTCTAACAATTTGTTCAGAGGAAAATGATTTATTTGCCTCTGGAATCTATGTTCAACAATTTCACTGATTAATGAGTAACAAAATTCTTTTTCCACTTTGTTCATAATCTGAATTGTTAAAACTTAAATATCATTTAAATTTAATCTGTTAATTTGGGAACTATTTATTGGTCAAAATTATGGTCAGATTTATTACACTAAACACCTATATCATATTGTTTTGTAAAATATCTCTTTTGTGTCCATATAATCTTTTATTTGAATTCCTCAAAGTCTCACCTATGTATTTTTTGTGGCTCTCATTACAGGCTATAGTGTAAATTCTTGCTTGAGGTTTTCTGTTAATTTCTTTGGTATTAAGTCTCTTGTTATTTTAGAATTTGTTGTAACAAATTTTATATTAGTTTACAGTTGTAGTTATTGTTAACTATGCATTTTTACCTTTCAGATAACTATTATGGAGATTACTAATGCCAAGGATTGAATTCTTCATCTTTGACTAATTAATATTGCAGAATTTTTCCATAATAGCTTCTAACAATTTGTTTATGGTGAAAAAAATTCATCTGTCTCTGGGATCAATGCAGGTGAATTTCATAGGCTAAACATGTACAAATCCTGAATCTGAAAGTTACTTTTCAAAACTTTCCATTCCATATTCCCAAAATCACCCGAGAAAAAAATTTCCAAAACAGCAAAACTCTCATGACTGGCTTCAGTGGTTAATTTTGTTGAACTAACGATAGAACATGATCCAGACATTTATGAGAACTTCAGCGATGCATATTGATATGTTTTAAAAAATAAATTCAATCTATATAATCTTTTTTTAAGAAGCCATATTTTTAAGAATTTTTTTTTCTGTCTTGTGTGTGTTTTAAAGACTGTCCTCTAACCGTCATTCAGAATACAGGGTAATCTTTTTGAATACTTGATGGGAGATAAAACAGATTTACAGGAATTTTATGCATCATAATCAAAGAAGGCACATAGCTGTTGGGAATAATGACCATAATAATCTGAAGCAATTTTTCTAAAGACCCTAAAAGATTTTTGAGAATGGAAAACAAACAAACAAAAAAAAAAAATCTGTGATCAACTGTCATGGAGAAAGATTATAAATTTTTCTTGAAATGAAGGATTTAAGAATTTATTGTTTTGTACTAGGTTCATTTTTTTTCCTGTCTTTTTTCCAATACAGAGAAAACTGGAGGCAACAGAAATGTGGTTCTACAGAACGATACTGAGAATTCTATGGGCTGAATGAGTAAGCAACAGGAAGTCTTCAAGAAAATGGCAACAAAAAGAACACTTATACTCAGAATTTGTAAGAGCTGAAATTTCTTCCACACTAATGAGGAAGTATTTTTTTTTTTTTTTTAAAATAATGTTCATCCTGTACAAGACCCAAGGGCCAGTCATGGTAGAGTGTTACAGAATAATATGGATATGTGGGGAAGATAATAGTTAAATCTATACTTGAACATGTTAAGATTGTAGACATCGGGGAAGCATCCTCTTGGGAGTCAGTTCCACAAAGCAGCAGTTCATGGGAAGAAGCTGCTTGAGTGGAACTTACATCTCACCAATTGAATATGAAGAGAATGAAGGTGGTTCACTACAATGTGTGTAGCATGGCAGGCTTTAGCCATGAAGGTTTGAACAGGAATGTAGTTCATCTGAACACTATCAATGTAAATAACAATAGAACAAGTAGAGGCTTGTGATGTTGCATCTGTAGGAAAAGGGTTGTAAGGTAGAAAATTATTCATCACCTACAAGGACGTGGAGACACTTTTGGAATCTAGTGAAGACTGAGGAGCTCCTGCCAATAGGGAACAGCAGTACTCATTTTTCACTTCTGATCTGGCTCTTGTAAAAGTAGAGGATAGCAAAAGGAGTCAGGTACTTACTGAAGTGGTACAGAGAACCATTTTTTAGCTTCTTTAGTGGTGGATTAAAATGTTTGAATTCCACTTGAGATCTGGGTTCAGTTTAACCCCTTTCCCACCAATTATTTTTAGAAAAACATTTCATTTTGAGACAAATTTTTTTATTTGTTTTTAATATAGTAACAAAGAAGCTGAGGCACCTTGAAGTACCCAAGCGGTGACTAACATCTCTATCATGCATATGAGTTGACTATTGGAATCATTTCAAGCTCAGAAGGCCATAAAAAGAACCAAGATTGACATATAAACATGTGCAATGCAACCTCAGTCCTCAAACCCTAACCCTAACCCATGTCGAACAAATCAGTTTTCGAACAGAAAATTCAAGATGAAAATGCTTCAGTTATCAAACAAAATGTTGGTTCTCAAACAACATTGCTGAACCAAGTTAACCTGTATGCAATAATTTCTGTGTCGACTGCTGGGTTACATACATTCATGTGTTGTGGCGTGCTTTTCTTCTCTAATTTTATTCTGCTGTGACTTTTTTCTCTACATTGATTTCTATTCAGAAAATAGTTTCAGTTTACAAACATTGCAGGTTATGAACGACCTTCAAGAATGAATTAAATTCGTGAACTGAGGTTCCACTGTAGTTGGTTTTTAAACATTATATTATGAACGTGTTTATTTGTCTGTGTCTGAAAAAGACACTTTCAGTAAAAACATATATACACATCTACACCAGGGAATGGATTAAGCCCCATTAGGTGTTCAAGCATATGTTGTATAGCCCACTTATGCTGGGAGATATTGGACGATGTCGTCAATTCAATAATAAAGTTACATCTTCTCTCATGGACGGTGATCGCTAGTTGTTTTGGGTTCAAAGTTAAAATTTCAGCACACGGAATTTTAACTTAATGATCTTATTAACGATCATGTCGACATGTTTTATCTATCCCTTGGGGGTTGTTCCCCCTCACTGGGGAGCCATTTCAGACACAAAAAGAAACACGTCTACATTGTTTGACAGTTAAGACTTGAATTTCTGAAACCTTTCTTCTATCTCTTTTCCCACACTAGCTCAGCCAATCTAAATTGACTACCTTATTTTGGCTTGCATCTGACCTTGAAGGTCAACTCTGAAAGTCACAGCTGAGATACAATTCCCCACAAAAATAATAGACTGCTAAACTATTATTTAACATATGCGACCTCCCTGAGAGCACACCTGTTCATTACCATAGGTGAAAATTCAATGTCTGTTCAGTGGTAAAAGTAAGAAGAATTATGAGAAATTATTATTGAAATTTCTGATTAAAGAAAAGGGATAATGTGGCTCGAAAAAAGTCAGGAGAACTCAAAACTTTAATGGAACAATAAAGTAATTATGAAGTAAGAATCCATGTTTAAACACCAGTAAAGATATTATTAATTTAGAACATTTGAAAATTGATTCAATAGGTAACTGTATAGGGGTTTAGATGAAAGAAGGTTTTTTATAGTTTATATATTTAGCCTAACCCAATCATCCTTAACAAATCATGTCAAGAAGGTCATGCTGAATTGACATACATCTATTTTTATT